AAGAAGAAGAAGAAGAAGAAGAAGAAGAAGAAGAACAACAACAACAACAACAACAACAACAACAACAACAACAACAACAACAACATGAACGGAACAAAAGAAAGAAGAACAACACGAAGAACGACATAATGGGCAAATCGACCAGACCCCGATACATTCAGATACGCACCAATAATCAATAAGATCGACGAATGTTTCAGTTCCCCAGCTGGGCTTTGCAGATATGACTTGCCACATACGTTAGAGAAGTTCCTTGCTAATGTACTCAACACGAAATGTCGGGAACTTATATAGCATGGACATTAGCTTCCAGAAATTTGAAGAACTTGATTGGGAAATATATTGACCTTGTAGTAAAAGCGTAAGACAAACAGTTCTGTTAGCTTATATTATTATCTTCAAGGTGCGCACTTCAGTTTCTATTTTTAGCAACTGACGTAAATAGACCTACTATTTTTAAGTTCAACTTTGAACTCTGGTCCGAGTCCTTGGTTCAGGTCTGCTGTACTGTTGGTTGACTTTGAGAGGTGGCGTTAGAGAGGGTTCCTCAGTAAATTTGTGTACGATTATTCCACTCAGAAAAATCAAGCTCTCTGTCAGCTCAGTTGATACCATGCTAAACGACGGGGCACGCGGCCTTGGTTCGTATCCCAGACTGGGCGCTCTTGGACTCTCAACTCATTTGGATCTGTCCAATCGGAGACGGACGGTAAATTGGGAGGCCGCCCCCCACCTCTTTAATATTATCCTAATAGTATTGATAGAGGCGTTAAACTTAAACACGTTTACTCTGACAAGATGAAATCCCAGTCAGGCAAATGAACTAGGGGAAACTACTTTGCAATAACTAATTTTACCTTTTAACATAACTTCGAAGTTATTGCCCCTGCATTGAAAGCCAAATAACTAACTACAAAAATTGCTGTTGTTATTGTTGTTGTTGGGTTGTTCTTATTGTTGATGTTTTTTGTGTTGTTGTTGTTGTTGTTATCATTGTCTTTGATTTTATTTTTAGCCGTTTTGCTATTGTTCTTATCATTGTTGTTATTGTTATTATTATTGTTTCTTTTGCTCATGGTGGTTTCATTATAATGTTATTGCTGTTACCGCTGTTGTTGTTAATTTTATAAACCGTCTCTATTGTTATCGTTGTTGTTGTTGTTTTTGTTATTATTGTTGTTGTTGTTTTTACTCGCTGTTGTTGTAGTTGTTGTTGCTGAAGAAGAAGACTTCTCTGTCTTGTTCATTTATCATAAACGGTAGATGATTATTTCATCTGTGAACACGGATAAACAGGGACAATGAATGATACAGGTACGACATTACTTGAAATAATACGGGGTACACCACAAAACGTACAGAGAACGTGAACCAATATCATTTAACACATAATCATACAGTTGTTGTTGTTGTTGTTGTTTTTGTTGTTATTGTTGTTGTTATTGTTATTGCTGCTGCTGTAGCTGTGTCATGCGTCTTGGGATTCCGCCCTTCGCAAATATGAAACGACAGTAAGACAGAGAGACAGTTTGCTACCCTAAAATTACAAAGTTCTTTCTGCTCAGCACCTCTTTTTGAGAGATTTGACGCGAATAATTTTGAGTTTCACAACACATCAAGCTATTTCGAATGCCATTCTTTGAATACATGTATCTTGACAATGATTCCGAATAATCTTACGATTTTGATAAATCAGATTGAACATAATTTGGTTTCAAATCTCATGGTCTTAGTAACTCAAAAAGACCATAAACCGTCAGATAAAACTTAGTGATTCTAAGGTAGAAAACAGTAGGGTGTGACCACATCGTCACATGTCTTAACTACAAGCATACCGGCACCTGTGGTGAAGCTGTAAGGCGCTTCCCTGTCGTACACAGGAGACTCAAGTTCGATTCCTGAGAGGCAAGAATTTGTATCGAACTGCTCAGTCTTTCTGCAGACATATTTTAGTTTTACAAAATGTTTTACGGCACTTGCAACACAATAAGGTCATATAAGTGCCGAAGATTAGAGGTATTACAAGAGAGTAACAAACACAAAAAAGAAGGAGGGGAGATAAAAACGATTGATGTTTGGTAGGAAAGAAGAAGCAAACCACACCAGAGCACCCACCAGCCACCTACTGACATATTTTATCCCTTTACACTCAGGTAGTTTCTGAGAGGCCGGGTCAGTAGTCAGAAGTCAACCTCCTAAATAATTAAATGTGAGGTAGCTTGGTGGAATCAGGCTCTCGTCAATTTTTGGGCATGTAGAGTTATTAGTTTCATCTTAAATCTTGTTCACTTGTCTTTATTTGGATAAACAATTATCCAATTATTTTGAAAACAAGTCGAGATATTTACGAAAAAAGGAGGTGAGGGTCACCTGTTTTCAGGGGTAAAATTATTGAAAAAAATGGCCGCTAAAAGATTAGTTATTATTTTAGATTAAGAATCCGTGGTAACTGAAAATAAATATTTTTTGTGCCTTTAATCAACGTTTTTCAGAAAAACTAGCACAGAAGTGAGTTCTTTAATGGGCATGAAAGCTGTTGAGCCAAAAAACAAAAATTCGATACAAATTCACAACCTGCGGAAAAATGCAAGTTTCTTCATTTTGATTATTTTGACGAGAGCCTGATTCCACCACGCTGCTGCACAAATTGTTTAGATGAGGATGTAAAAGCACCGACATTTATTTTTATGAATTTTAACCGGGCAGGGGCGGTCTTTCGTTGCCCCTATAACCTCTCTCTCTCTCTCTCTCTCTCTCTCTCTCTCTCTCTCTCTCTCTCTCTTTCTCTCTCTCTCTCTTTTTCTTTCTCTCACACTCTCTCTCTATCTATATCTATCTATCTATCTATCTGTCTATCTATCTGTTTACCTATCTCTTTCTTTCTTTCTCTGTCCATCTATATAGCAATATATCCATCTATATATCATCTCTTTCTCTCTTTCTACTTTTTTTTTCAATCTATCCATCAATCCATCCGTCCGTCTGTCCGTCCGCCCTTCCATTCGTCTACCCATCTG